GTAAGGGACATAACATTTCCGTCACACGCTTGAGGAATTCGGCCAATCACAACGCACTGGATAGCTGGCCAATCAGAGCACACCTCGCTTTTTCAGACCGATGAGCTTTGTAAAAATCGATGCGTTTCAGAAAGGCGGGGCATAGAGAAGTGTACAGTATGTACAGTATGTGGAAAATAATGTGTTTTTTGAACCTTAAACCGCATAAACACATTTCATTACACCAAATACACAAAATAATATTCTTTTTAGCAGCATCATATTACCCCTTTAAAGTTGTCCAAATGAAGTTCTCAGCAATGCATCTTATTAATCAAAAATTACGTTTTTATATATTTATTGTAGGAAATTTACAAAACGTCTTCATGGAACATGATCTTTACTTAAAATCCTAATGATTTTTGGCATAAAAGAAAACCTTATCATTTTGACCCATACAATGTATTGTTGGCTATTGCTACAAATATACCCGTGCTACTTATTACTGGTTTTGTGGTCCAGGGTCACATATTAGTCATAAATGAACAGCTAATATCAGCAACACAGAATTCAGTGTCAAAAACTCAAAGCAAATGGTCAATGTTAAGACGGCTTGCCACAAGCCTTCTGGCTGTTAATGGGGCAAAGACTCCTCAAACACAACACACAAGCCAGTTTGCTTTCCAAATGTGCTCGCAGTTTTACCCCAAAATGGAGTACTAAATCATATCGCTCACTCCATGCCATAATCTGCCAACTGAAACGTTGTTTCTGGAAAAGCAGCCCGAGAAAATTAAGCTGGAACTACCGCCGCACCATTGGACAAGTCACAGACCTCCAAGCCAAATCACTCGATATTTAACGTCCCTAGTGTCGCATTATACATTTAGGATGTTGGCACTTGCAGAACCCTGCGTGAATTTCGAACAGTGCTTGAACAATCAGCAGGATTCAGAGCGGAATAATGCTGTGGGTCATGACGCAGGCTTATACGCACCATTCTGCAGTCCGCTACGGCACGCAGAGCCTCGCTGCTCTCCCGGCGCTCCGGCTCTCTGGACGGGGGCTTACTGCCGATCTGGAAAATGGTCCCGGCAGTTCTGGGGCGGTTTTTGCGCCCACTCGGTGCAGAACTCATGCATACACATCAAGTGAAGAAACTGCCCTGATATAAAATACCGACTGATCAATATGGTGCCACTCGTTTGGTAAATTTCTTACTCAATTGATCGATCTGCCCGTGTCTTGCTCCTGGATTCTCTCCGCATTGCCACGATGCAGATAGCAGAAGCCAAGTCACCTTCATTCACTCCAGCAGAGAGCTGAAGTGTCCTTGCAGGGCTTCGTCTTCTTCAGCAGAGAGAAATGCGATAACAAAGAACCAGATGCAAACATGTCTTGATGCCCGGTATAGTCCTTCAACGTAGAAAATAACAGCCGCTTTTAAACGAAACACCTCCCCGCGACAGTAACCGCAACTCCAAATAGACTAATATGCGCCGCAAGTTGAAACGATAAACTCTATATGGCGTTTATTGAGAGTAGGTAGCAGGAGGTGATCTAAGAGCGCTTTTCTAACCTTGATAGGTGCAGTTGCTTGAGGCATGACGTGGTTGAACACACTGCACTCTCATAGGATGAGAATACTAATGCAACAGATTCACCAACTCCAGTGTTTTCACGGCTTCATCAAGTGTGCCACAGAAAGGAAGCAATAAAAATACACGAGTGAAATCATAGGCAGCTCAAATCTATCTACCCTGCTGGAAAAAAAGCACTATAAGTCAAGTTAAAGTGTCTTTCTGGTCTTAGCTGGTCTTCTACTCTGGTCAAGCTGGTGTTTGGTGTGTGAAGTGTCCAAAAAACACTTAAACCAAACAGACAGACATATTGGATCCGGCTGGAAGACAAATCATCTTAGACTGGCTTCAAAGTTTTTCAGCAGGTGTCTAAATAAATAAAATAACACATATAACAAATAGATAATGAATGTGTGTGTGTGGTCAATAAAACATTTCCCATGTAAGCCATTTCAAATGAATCTTATTAAATATTCATAAAAGTAAAGTATCTTAAGGCTGGTTATTAGGAAATGTTGTATTTGTGGTTGACTCATACTGTTTATTGTACCAAAATCCTAATTGTACAAAAAGCAAGCGGCAAAATTAGACTTAATATTGGATGAGATGCTAATGGCAGCCTGTTTTGTTGTACTCTGCCAAATCTACAGTGGCCGAGAAGTGCAAAGCAGATCACAATTCTGAAAACAAAATAACAAATTACAAACGCAAATGCAAGTCTAAAAAACAAAATAACAATTCAGAAAGCACAACAACAATTCAGAAAACATTATAACAAGTCAGAAAACACAATGACAAATTCGAAAACAAAATAAGTCAGAAAACACAACAACAAATCCGAAAACAAATTTACAAGTCAGAAAACACAACGACAAATCAGACAAACCGGAAGAGGTAGGTATAGTTTGAGACAGCGCCATTGGTTTGGGATTACTCACCGCTGACTGGACGAGACATCTGTCAATCAACGTATACAGGAACAACCAGCTGAAGAACAGCAGAGTCGTGGTAGAAAGTTTGGAGATGGTATTAAAGTAGCTCAATTTAAATGTATTGTATGAATTGCCCTTACTCTGGAATAAAAAATACGGGGTGTCTATTTACATTTAGTTTAAAGTGACTGTAACTCATCAGTGCTAGTGGCGCGGATGAATAAGTGTGTGTTCTTGGCATTTTGATACGATCGACCCGGGTTCGATCCTGCCTTTTGCCGAACTGTTTTTTTCTCCCTTTTCAAATCTCGTATTAGCAATGGATCCTATTTACACTAAGTGAAAATAGCAGTATTTTTAGCAATATGCTATTTACACTAAGTGCAAATACCTATTTACACTATGTTAAAATAGCAGGATTTCTACTATCAAGTATACTACTTGTTGCAAATAGTGGCAATTATCTGCACTTCAGTATTGTAGTACATTATAAAACAGTATGCAATAATAACGTATTGAGTGTAAATTATAATTTTAATTATTAAATGGATGCCACCTTATTGGTACAATAAAGCCCTCCCTACACCTACCCTAACCCTACCCGATACTTTATTTTCAACTTTTTGATTATTTCCTTAATTTTTATTGAAAATAAATGCCGTTACGATGTGATACGAGATTTGAAAAGGGAGAAAAAAAAAGTTCGGCAAAAGACGGGATCGAACCCCGGTCGATTGCGTCAAAAAGCCACAGGCACGCACTTATCCATCTGCGCCACTGAAGCTGATAATTTGGTTATTTTGTTTTCAGAATTGTGATCTGCTTTGCACTTCTCGACCACCGTACAAATCACTAGAAACCACTGCATTTGAGATACTGTGTGTGTGTGTGTGTGTGTGCATGCATAAGATGAATAGAATTGATGTGGAGTGTCTTGACAACACATTTAGAACTTGTTGTAGAACAAGACAGCTTGTGTTAACAACATGGACTGGACAAGTTTCCAAAGGATGATACTTCATGCTTTCAACATGAAATATTTATTCAAGTGCAGGCAAAGATTTCCACTGCTAAAAGATTTTTATTGCTGC